TGCTGAACAGTAAAAGTTTACCAAGAAATGGAAGTGGCAAAAGTTGCAAGAAAAAATTAACAAGAAGCAAAACTGTTAGAATATGATGGATTGAGGAGATTTGGGCGGGCAGAACACTTTTTTACTAAAATAGCCATCTTCAAGAAGTGTCGATTTTATCATTTTCTAAACAGCAGAGATGTATAAACATTCATCTTTCCAGTTTGATTCAAATTTGTATCATTATGTCAGTATTTTATATAGCATTATGTTGTGTATAATTATTTGTTGCCATATACATTTAAACTTGGTATCTTCATAGGACTAAAAAAGCCTAAACAGATGTTGACTAAATTATAGAGATAGAAAAGGAGGAAAGCTTTTTGTCATTATTCAAATATAATAGTGCTTCTAGATTAATTTAATTGTTTTAATTTTGTCAGAAATTTCAGGATTTCAACATTCCACTTTAAACCAAAATGAAGTTTTCCCAAGATTTCTCTACAAATTCTGTGGCATAAATTTGCATTGGTAATAACTACATCAATTAGTGCTACAAAAGACATCTAACAAAAGAAATGGAGACACATTTTGTTCAGATTATTAAATGGGTTGGAAAGGTTAATAAGCCTTAAACCAGAAAATGTTCCAGACCGATTTCCCCCCCCCCCCCCCCCCCGTTTTTATAAAACAGTATTTCAAAGTCCATTTCTCCCTGAAAAGCAATTAGCTCAAAAAAAAACTTCCATCTTGCCATCACTTACCCTTTCTGTTCAAAGTCAGTTCTGTGTGGCTAAAGTCATTTTTCCTTTAGTGCAGTAGTATTTGCAGAGGAAAGAAAATCAGTTAGCTTGTGGTTTCTGTTATCCATAATCAATTAGTTTACTAAGTTGCAATTAGTTGCACTTTTCAAGACCCACTGAAAGTAACACAATTGCTTAACTGCTTGGAAGAGCCTGAGGTTACTGGGATAAGACATAATTTGCCTTTCTGAAACATTTTCTATTGATTCCTCATGTGAAAGAAAGATCTGAGTGAATTTACGAGGCCAACACTTAAAAATCAAACAAAGGTTTTGGCTTGTAACGTTGTACTTCTGTATCCAAATTACAGCAACTAAAAGCATAGAACTTCAATTTATGTTTCTATGTCATCATTTTTTCTGGGTGCAATCATGCTTTATCACTGTAAAGAGTTTCAGGACACGGTACATCTGAGGATCTAGTTTAGAACAGGATGAATTACATCCTGAAAGACCCTGGGAACTACTCAGTTGCCAAAACTCAGACATCTGATACCACACTGGATGCTCTAAGTCATCTCTTTACTCTTATGTAAAGCTCTACTCATGCACATGACTTGGATGCCCTTGGACATCCAAAATTATAACAGATGCCTACATTCAAGCAACTGAGTCCCAGCCCCTGCTTCCCTCTGTTGACTGCAACAGGAACCAAGGGTTACTGTCTCAGCTTGTTGATGCCTGTGTTTGGTCAGATGGCTCCTACACTGAAAGTCTTAAGAGCAGACTTTGTAGGCCTTTAGAATCATCTGTTCCCTAGAAATTCAGGAAATCATTAATACCAGCTATTTTCTCAACTTAGAAAGCTGTAATTTAGGCTAATAAGCAAAATTAATACATTTATCTCACCAGTATTAGTTAATAGTCAAAACAATCAGTGTATAGGCATGGTTGTTCTAGAGTTAGATGCTTGATATTTGAAGAAACAGGCTGTCTTGTTACCTCTGCTTTAGAAGGAGGTTTTCCCTAATTACACAATTTGATTTAATTGGATTTTTAAAGTATGCTAAGACTTAATATTGTCTTTTTTTTTTTCCTGTCTCTTGTGATAGGAATGTCAATATGAAATTCTTGGCAGCAACTTTTGAACTGCAGATTTTTCTTACCAGCTTCTAGAGAGACAGAACTGGAGCATGCAAGGCTGGGAATAATATTTTTCAGTAATTAACCTAATTTTTAAGATGACTAGAAAACTCAGCAAAATTACTTTGCTACACTGAGGCTTTGCAATGGGATGGCTGTGATGTCTTAGTGTTGTCCCTGAGGTGGGAAGTTGCGTGAAAGACCTTACCTTAGGGACCTTCAACACAGATTTTAGGTTTAAGAACTACTAGCTCAGAAAGACAAAGTGAGCAATGCCTGGGCCACTATCTAGTGCAGAGGTAGGTAGCAGCAGCCTTACCTGAGGAAAGTAAAGTGCTCTCTTTTTGTTAGATTCTAGTGGAATCAAAACTAACTTGCATTGTTTATAAAAACAACTATTATGTAATAAATTTCACACTTTGGACAGTCTAGCTGTATGCAGTTTAGGGTGGGTAAAATGATTTGGTACTGACTCATAGACCCGTGTGGAAGTCTAGACCCATCTGGCTTTGTACCGCAGGCCTAAAGAGTTGTTTAGGCTTGTTAGAGCTATTGGTCCATTTTCTAAAATATATAATTAATTTTCTAGCAGCTGTGATTTTACCTTTCAGTTCTGATCATCTGTCTACTGTAATTGCAGCCTCTTTTAGAACAAGGTAATCTCATATTATTGCTAGATTTTTGTGGTTAAGGAGGATACCATTTCATTCCAGATAGACAACTCCCCAAAGTTTAAGTTTTTATCTTACCAGTTATTCCCTGTGTATGGCAGAGATTCTGAAGGCTTGACTTCGAAATTGCAGTTTCCAAATACAGGACAGGTAAATTTATATTAGATAAAGCTGTAAAGCTTTTCATGAATTTGTAGTTTGCTCAGTGAGTTTATTTGACAAACTGAATCTTCTACTTTGTAACTGACCCAGTCATGTAATACTGGCTTGTGTATTTTCTATTGAGACTGAGAATTTGGACATTTTATTTGCTTTCCAGAGGTGTCACTTGAATAGATTATTGTCTATGCTTGAGAGTAAAAAAAATTCTTTTCTTACTTATTATTTTATTTCTCAGAAAACATAAATCCACCGATTTTAATTATATGCCTAAAACAAACAAAGCTGCTGTTGTTGTTTACCTATAGATCTTTATTGTATGTCACAGCCTGTGGATAATTAGGTAGATAAAACCTTCTGACTCAGCAACAGGTTATGTTGACTTTTCATTTGGTAGTATGATGGAGAGTTAGTTGTTTGGGTGTTAGCACAAAAAGGAAAACATTTCTTAGAAGTAATCATATAGCCGTTCTGATTATATAAATATTACTGTCGGTTTTAACATTATTCCTTAAACTGTCATCTGAGGTGGTGGGCTGCAGAAACATTTTCACACTGTGCTTATGTATCGATTTTTCTTTATTCCCAGATTCAGGCCATGTATAACATTACCCAGTATGAGAATATTTACCCTTTGTGTATGATTCTGGAACAACTTCTTCAAAATGAGACAGAAGAAAGTAGTGTTTCAAGCTCAAACTATGACGGAGAAGAAAAAATCAAATTTCTGAAGAACCTTGATCAAATTATTCTTCATCTCTCAGATGAATTCCCTTTGTTTTCTTTATATTTATGGAGAGTAAGTGTTCTTTTGAACTCAGCTCAAATACAAATTGATTAAAACAAGCAGCCTACTTTTTAACAGAGCATTTGTTGTGGGATTGCATTGGAAAATTTTTGAGCCAGCCAGGAAAATTGTCATTATTGGAAAACATTTACTTTTAACGACTGTGCTATACAACAGTTTCAGAGATAATGCAATTTATTTCCGATTTTAAATATAGGAAAAACGTAATAATCCAGGTGCCATTTTGAATAAATGCTGTTTCTTATAATGGAAAACAATATGTTGGTGTTTGCATACACAGTGAAAATGGCAACAAAGAAAGTTGTTTCAGGTGACGTTTAAAATAAGCAGTATGGATTTTAAAGTCCAGACATAACGTGTGTGTAGAGCTTTCAAGTTAGGAAATTAATGCCTGTCTTTTAAGAGTTGTATAGCTTCTGTGTGCTTTAGAGACAATGGCTAGTTGGCAGAAATACGTTTATTTTTGAACTTGGTGACTTATCACTACAAATTCTTATAGGACAGACTTAGTTTCTGATTTAATCAAAAGAGTCATTACCTGAGCAAAATAAAATCTGGTGCTCAGTTTTACAACTTTCTTACATTCGTTGTATTCTGCTTGGCTTTACTTGTGTATGCACAAGTGTAGGCACAGTAAGCCTAATTTACTCCAAGTTGACTAATGATTTCAGAGATTTACTCTGAATAGATTTAACTCCTTTAATGATTACTTTAAACTTTTCTGTTAAAATTAATTAATATTGATAAAATCCCTTTTGTGTATTTATGCATTATCTGATTTTTAAATTTTTAGTTCTATATGATGGAATTATATTCATAGTAATAATTAAAGTAACATATTTTAACAGAAATAATCTTAAACATAAAAGACCTTTAAAATATGTGTCCAACAATATCTTAACTGACTCAGTCTTCGATAAATTTAGAGTGTAACTATTACGATGAACGGCATTTTTTTTTCTAGTAGATAAACAATATTTTAGTTTTGTTATGTGTCTTAGTAATACATATTCACTGTAAATATTAAACATTTTTAGCATTGGTCCTTATCCTTCCCCTTGCAATTGTTTCATCAGATCAATTTTTATGTCAGAAAAATTCTCTGAAACACCACTTTTTAATACTATAAATAATTTATCTTATTAATTTGAATGAATTTATTTCACATAATAAACCTTTGTTTTCTATATATGTAAAATATATTAATATTTACCAAACAAGTTACTTTGAATTGGCTCAAAGAATGATTCTTGTGCTTGTTTAGATGCTGGATGCTTTTCTGTTTCTTAAACTTTGTATTTGGTATGTCATATGGTAACGTTTGTTTAATACTTTCCTTTAGCAAACTTTCTTTCAACAGAAATGTTCGATTTGCAAAACAAGTGTTCCTGAATATTCACATTAGAAAAATCAGATGTTTAGCCAAAGTAAAGAAAATAAAGTTAAATATGTATGTAAGTTTGGTAGCCACTCAGGAACTACTGTCCCCTTTTTGTTACTGCTTTAGTTTTTTGTTTGTTTGTTTCATTAAGGTAGAGGATCAGTTCTTCCACTTCCCTCCACAGCACTGAAAGCATGGTTACAAAAAGAGCAAGGAAAGGAATAAACACAAGGGAGTGGTATCTAGTTGATATAATCATTTTCATTTTCATTATTTTAAAAAGCTTCATTCAAAAATATTTTGTAAAGAAAAGACATAAAACACAGGACGATACTGGAATCTGTATAATAGCAAAATGTGTATTGTTTCAAGACTCCTGTTCTATAGAACAGTTTCTATTGGCAAAAGCTATTTTTGTTACTAGTAAAGCAGCTTGGGCACAAAGGAACAAGTATTTTCTTCTTTGCAGATTGTAGCATTTTCTCACCAGCAAGCTCTGTAGGCCACTGGAAGAGCAATGGATATTTTGGGGAGTACATGCATCCTTGATGAGTTTTGAAGTAACTGCTGACTTGAGATGTGATTTTTGAAATCTTTTTCACAGCATGCAAAGAGAGGGGGTTTTGTGTCCAGAGATGCAATAACTACGTGGCACTTACGCTCTGACAAGGATTTGAAACAGTTTGTTAAGCAGCTTTGAAAGTGTTGGGGCAGAGTGAGAGTTCCCTTTGTAACGCCGTAGCAGCAACTCAGATGCACACTAACCTCTCCGCAAAATTGCTATTGACTGGTCACCTGCGCTCTCCTTAATTGTTTCAGTGCAAAATTAAACAGTGCAGTTGAACCACATTAATAAGCATATCTCAGCTTTGGTGGGAGCAATAACCTCTGCAACCAGAATAGTTTGATTAGACAGATTTTTGTCTCATGTTTCTTGAAGAGATTTTTCACCAAGATGGGACTTGCCTCAGGATGAAGATGCATAAAGGTAGACATGTGCATTTAGATGTCTCCGTGTGGTTGGGATATCTAAGCTATGAAACACTTACAAAGTACCCATATATTTTGGGCTGAGTCTCCAGCTGCTATCCCAAAGGACTGCAGATCTTATGTAAGTCTTGTGTCACATTTTCTCTCTTCATGTAGAGAAACATGGAGCATCTTTTGTGGTACTGTCACTAAATGTGTCTGCTTAGGTTACTGAATCTTGCAGTGATAATAGCATGAGTTTAGATATGTAGCTCACTGACACACACATGCATTTAGGTGTCTTAATGTGAGAACTAAATCCCACCCATGTGATATCTATTTTTAGGAGTAGGAAATCTTGGGTTTAAGTCCATGCTTTTCAGATGATTTCTGGTCTTGTCCAATGACTGTTAGATGTAACTTGAGTAAGCATCTCTATCTTCAGTTTTGAAATAAGACAGGATAACTGAGCCAGTCCCTGGAGTTAGCTTTTACAGGTGAGAATTTGCGACTCGGTTGGAAGAAACCTTCCTGCAGCTTGGACTTCAGCTAAGTCTTAAAGTACTTACTAAATAGGTATGTCGACATCCAACTTTTACATATCTGGCCTCCAGGGAGGAATCCCAAATCCAGAGAAAGTACCTATGGTCTTTGTTAAGTGGAGACAATTAGATGTCTCAAAAGAACTAAGTCCCATGTGCTAGGCAAAACATGTCGTATACCTAAAGAATAGGAAACACTAAAAAAAGAACTTGATCTGACCTGTCATCACTCCCTGGAGTATTTCACCTGAGTTACCCTTACAGTTTTAGAATTAACAGTTCAAGGATATTTCTTTTGTCTTGCTGATTTCCTTTTTGTAAATATATGTACTTTAGAATTTGGCAAAATGCTAGTGTTCTGCAAATGCAAATTGTTCAGGTTTTGATATATATTTATACGCACACACACACATATGGTTGAATTATGTATTTATAGGGTTGAATTAGCAGTGCTTATTAATTAGCCTCATAGCGGTTTATGATTTTGTAATTTGTTATTCTGCCACATTCTTAGCCTACAGGTGGCTGTGTTTTGTACCCGTCTCCATCCATTTTAAAAAGAATTTTATGGTAGAGTGTCTCTTTTTATGAAAGTAGAAAAATTATGAGATGAGTAAAATAAATTTTTATTCTAGTGCTGCTCCACTGACTGTTCTATTCACTAAAGAATTTTACATGCCTACTAATGACAGCAGTGGGTGGGATTTTTGAAGTGAACTGTCTCAGGATATTTTTGTAAACTTAATTTGGAAGCTTTTTATGATGTGTTTGTGATTTACTAATTTTTTTTGAGGTAGTTATTGCTTCTATATGTTGGTAATAGTGAAAATGAAATTGCGCCTTATTTTAATCCTGTAATAATATTTACTTTTTTCTTTCAATTATCTATGCGTTACTAACTGATACAAAGTAACACTGTATAGCTTGCTGTGGCGCAACATCCAGCTGACATTCACATAATCATAGGACAATTCAGGTTGGAGGGGACCTCAAGATCCCCAGTCCGACCTCCTGCTCGAAGCAAAGTTAGCTGTGGGGTCAAACCAAGTTGTCTGCTGCTGGTTCAATATTCAGTCAGCTATCGAAAAACCTTCCAGGACAGAGACTGCACAACTTCTCTGGATAACCTGCTCTTCTGCTTGACTGTATTCATGGTGGAAAAAAATTTCCTTATATACGGTCTGAACTTCTGTTATTTAATTTTATGCTCAGTGTCTTTAGTCTTCCTACCACCCAGAGCTTGATTCTGTCCTCTTGATACCTTCGTCATAGGCACTGGAGCCTACTCTTAGGTCCCCCTGAAACCATCTCTTTCCCAGGCTAAACAAGCCCTGCTCCCTTAACCCACTTCACAGCACAGATGCTCCAACCCTAGCTGTCTTGATGGCCCTCCGCTGAACACGCTTCAGTTTATCCACATCTTTTTACAGGGGGCCCAACATGGGCAGTAGTAGTCTAGATGAAGAACAAGAAGTGCTGAGTAGAGGGTGGTAATCCCTTCCCTTGATCTGTGCTCCTGTGCTTTTTTGTCTATCACGTGCCAGAAAGGATCTCTCTCTGTTCTGCAGTTCTTAATTACCTTGATTTGAGGTGGAGTTTCTGCAACTTCATCCAGATGGTATGCTTCACTTACACCTTCTTTAAATCACCTCTCCCTTATATAAATTGTTTCACCCTCCTTAACTGTGTTTCCTTTTAGTTTTCCCTTTTTTCTCATAAGTAAATTCACTTAGTCTGCCCCTGCTTCTTTAATTGAAGGAGCAAAGTTAGTTTTCATCCTTCCTTTAATTAAGCCATTCCTTCAACTTGATTTCTTCTAAACTTGCTGATTTCAAATTCATCCCAAATTCTTTGGGGTTATGCCTACCATTAAAATAGTTACACTAAAGAGAGGCTCGCCCTTGTGAAGAGCACTGTTTGCAGATCACCTGCTTACCAGGCTTGAGTTCATGTTTGAGACAGCTCTTTCAAATTATACTTGAGGAAACAGTCTCTGCCAGCCAGGAAAATCCTCCAGTGAACAGAAATAGTTCCAAGACAAGACCTTTGTTTAGGGTTGTTCAAAAGGGAAAGGGCAGCCGTCTGTCTTTTCTTATTCCTGTAGTTGCCAGAGATTCACGTGACTTGATGAAGGCCAATCC